TCTCGATCTCTTGACCTTGTGATCCACCCGCCTTGGCCTCCCAAAGTGCTGGGATTACAAGTGTGAGCCACCACGCCCGGCCCAGAACTACATTTTAAAAGCAAGAAAATTATTGCAAAAGTCAGGATAATGGTTACCTATAAGGATTAGAGAGAGGTTTATGATTGGAAAGGGGCACATTGGGGGCTTCTGGGATGCTAGTGGTGATCTTTTCTAATGATGTTACATGGGTATCTGCTTTATAATTATTAAACTGAATATTTGTCCAGGTGAGGTGGCTCACATCTGCAATCGCAACACTTTGGGAGGCTGAGACAGGAGGATCACTTGAGCCAGGAGTCTGAGACTAGTCTGGGCAACAGAGTGAGACCCTGTCTCAGAAATTAAATTAAATATAAACAACATTTATATTATGTGCACTTTATGCATATTGTAGTTCTCAAATTTTTTTAATGGGGAAAAATGTTGAATGGCTTCACTTGCAGCCCTGACATAATTCCGTGTGGAGCTTTCATAATAAGGTTTGGGAAAAGAGAGAAGGAAATGGAGATTCTGCTGATCTTGGTGCCACCCAGAATTGGATTCTAACAGGAACTTTGTGATTTAGAGAGGAGGCATTGAATATACAATTTGGTGGGAAGAGTGGGTAGGGTGTGCTTGTGTGTGTGTGCGTGCATGTGTGTGTGTGGTGGTGGTAGTGGAGAGAGATGGACACAAAAATGAAAATGTAAGAAAAGGTTTTAATGAAAGCAGAGCAGATAACATCTTGAAATTACCATTATCCAGCTTTCCTCCACAGGTAGGAGATAGTCCTGTGTAGCAAATAGTTGTAGTTTGCATTTTAATCTAGAAATAACTTTTTCATTTTCCAGAATTCTCAGTGAAAATTATTTGACTGAATTACATAAGGATTCATTTGAAGGCCTGCTATCCCTCCAGTATTTGTAAGTTAGTTAGTTAATCCTATTTATGAATTTTTAGTCATATTATCTGTAAAATGAATAAGGAGTTCAAATTAGATAATCTCTAAGATTTCTTCCAGGAATAAAATTCTTTAATTCTGTAAGTTTATATAGGGTCTTAGCCCATCTCTAGCATTAGTTACTTCCTATGCATTTTCAATTTTTAAATTAGATAGACAAAATACAGACAAAAAAGAATTCACATGGTGAATCTGAGCAGTGATTGACACTCATATGAACCTTGTTTTATAACTGTTCACATGCCATCTTCTTATATTCAGTCTACAACCAAGAGATCAAATCTAATCTAGGTTCTATTTTTAAATAGCCCATTAAGTTAATGGTTTTTGCATTTTTTTTTTTTTTTTTTTTT